TCTCTGTCCAGAGGGGATTTGGTCACTAATGAAAACATTTTGTCTTTTAAGGATGTTGATAGAATGAACGGTACATCTTCATTTACACTGCAGATCACTTTTCCATTAAGACCAGAATCCAAATCATTTACACTAATAAGAGCTACTGTAGTTCCAGGCCTGGAATCTTCAGGGATGGAATTTGAAAACGAAGTAACCTCAATCTCAGGTGCGTTATCATTCACATCAACTATTTTGATTATGACGCTTTTTTCTGTGGTAAGAGGAGCCAAACCTTTATCTGATGCCTGGATTTCTATTTCATATTTGTCCCTTTCTTCGTAATCTATTACATTTTTAACAGTTATTTCCCCTGTCATTGAATTAATGTCAAATAGATTTAATATATTTTGATTCATACTGTTGCTAAATGAGTAAACTATCTCTCCATTAGGCCCATCATCCAAATCCGTTGCATTTACTTGTACGACTATTGTGCCGAGGGGAATATTTTCACTGAGTGTAAAAGAATAATCATGTTTAGGGAAAGCAGGTGCGTTATCATTAATATCCAAAACATTTACCAGGATATTCATGTCACCTGATTTCGGAGGTTTGCCCCCATCCAGGGCCTTCAGTATTAGTGAATGGCTTCCTGCTATTTCTCTGTCTAAAGATTTTTGAACAACTAAAATAGGTATTTTACCATCGTCTCCTTTATCCTTAACTTCCAAACGGAAATGGTCGTTGTTGCTAAGTTTATACTGCTGCACGGAAAACTGACCAATGTCTCGATCAAGCGCAGCTTTCAGCTGGATTCGTGCTCCGGGCAACACGGACTCTGAAATCTCCAATTTCTTGTCTTTTTCGTGGAAAATGGGCTCATGGTCATTTATATCTGCAACCTCCACTTCCACATAATGGACCTCCAGTGGGTTTTCTAGCACTGTTTTCACATTTATTACACACGCACTGCTCTGCGCACACACATCCTCTCTGTCAATCTTTCTGCTCACATACAGAACACCGTCGTTTGGATTCACGTAGAAAAGGGGATCCGCAGTACTTGAAACAATTCGATACTTCCGGTCTTTCAACGTGTTTTTATCTAATCCCAGATCTCTTGCTATGTTTCCAACCATAGTTCCGTCTTCAACTTCTTCAGAGATCGAATACCTTAATTGCGCTGAGGCTACAGTCCACAAAAGCACAACAGCTACACATCCAACCAGATATCCTCTCGCTATTTCTCGTTCACGTTTTCTTTGTTCCATGGTCTTGTCCTTAATGTTCAAAGATCTATCACAGAAAACATCGCGACGTCGTGATAGAACACAGTGTTTTTCACTACTGTAAACAATCCTGTTCTTAAGAAAATAGGAATAAAATGATCGCAGTTACAGGGAAGAATGAGAACAGAAGAGAATGCGGTAACGTCGAAGTGAGAGCCTTATCAGGAGGAGGAACCACATTACAATGAGACAACGTCACACACTGCTGACTTGTGATATTGTACTGTCACCATGCGACCAAGTGTTTCTCTTCGGTGAAACGAAGTATTAGCGTACCAGCTGAATGGTACACTGTTCTGTATCTGCCTGTAAATCTGTGACCAAACGCGATCGATAGTTGAAAAGAGACAAGCCTTCACCTTCAATCACACGCTACTGTGGCTGAGGCTATTCCTTCTTGTGTGCTTAAATTATGAGTCCAAACATCTAAAACATACACACAGTAACGACAAACGATTAATCCTGACTTTGCTTCCATTATACTGACACCACATGACCAAAAGTCTAACTGCAGACAACACACTAGTAATGCATTATTTAAAAATAAGTACAATGACTACCCTGGGGTAATACCAACCCAATGCTTCTTTTGTTGTATTCTCATCATGTAGGAATATTAAATGTTTACTCTGTATCGTTACAATTGTTGCAAAGAACAAGTTCAGATTCCTGGTTCGTTATATGAGTTACAACTACACATCCTTGAAACAGGATTTTCAACACCATGTAAAGCGATAGTCAGAAACTTCACCTTGGTCCAGTTGAGTTATGCGTTGTTATCGTTCATATTTTTTTATAAAGAAGAAAAACGTAAAAACACCCCTAATTAAAATACTGTTTTTTTTAAATCTGTTTTAGTTCCTTAATCTGTCTTTGCAGCTGGATGTTTTTTTAAAAGTTGTTTGACTTTAGAATGGCATTTAATATATTAAATATACTCTATGTCTAAAATGACTTGTCTCGTATTTTAAAGAAAAGCCTAGCTCATTTCATTTTATACTGACACACAGAGAGAAGAATAATTCTTACGAATAAAATCTTGGCAGATGTTCTTGGATATCGCTCAAGTTGTTTCCATAAGTATTAGTTGTAAACACAAATTTCCACAAACTATAATCAGTGCATGAATGCGAATGTACTGTGCATTTATTTAATTGGAAAATGTTGAATATTCCTTACCTCTTCAGATGTGCGTCTCCTATCAGGAAGCACTAATGTATTTGCATGACTGCCCGGAACTATAGTAGATCCTATACTCATTCTGGGTCCAACTAGCATGTACCGCTTCTCTCCTGATCTGTACTGGATGCTGGTTGGCCCAGGTGTGTCGCCTCGTCTATGTAATTAGGTGCTGCTGTGGCAATGATTTAAGAAGTATGAGGTTCTGGTGGATTTGGTAGCCCTGCAATTTGGCAATCAGCTACGGAGTGATGGGCTTACGTGAGTGAAAGAAGTACAGAACATGGGGCGGCGCGCCAAAGTTGGATTGGCGGATGAGGGTTAGAGGATAATGACGAGTTACTGATCGCTTGATCATCGTTTCGGGATCGCAGCTGTGTGTAACACGTCAAGCGAAGTCTGCACAAAGGCGTCTTTGGGCGTTCGGCACAAGTATTGGGACAGGATCACAGGTAGGCTGTGTGCTGCTGAGCGAGAGGATAAGCGTTGCGCTTGGTTGTCTTTGACCGAGGTTTAATGATCAGGTTTGATGCTCAGCCTCGTCTGTCTCTGTGAATGAGCGAAGTGTTCTGATCTGTCCTGTATAGCGGTCCAAAGCAAAGAGACTGTGGTCAGTAACTTCCTGCAGTGAAAAGAGCAACCAGCCGTTATATCCTATATCAGCGTCATAGGCTCTGACTTTAGTCACCAAGTGTCCTGCGTTGACGTTTCGGGGAATCTCCTCCACACCTTGAGCAGAACCGTTGGAGCTGAGTGGATACAGGATGACTGGAGCGTTGTCGTTCTGATCCAGGATGAAGACGTTGACTGTGACGTTGTTGCTTAGTGACGGAGTTCCAGAATCTGAGGCAACAACTTGGAACTGGAAAGTTTTCAGCGTTTCAAAATCAAAACTTTTCAGCGCTAAAATTTCCCCATTTTCAGAGTTTATGTTTAGAAATGAAGTGACTTTATTCTCTTCACTTCCGTCTCTTATAATATGATAGGAAATGCGCGCATTGTCATTCTCATCACGATCAGAGGCATTAACAGAAAACACTGAAGCTCCTGGATTATTCCCCTCAGTAACATAGAAAGTATATGGGCTGAGTGAAAACTCTGGACTGTTGTCATTCACATCTGACACCGTAACACTTATTGTCTTTTCAGATGATAACTGTGGCTGACCTGCGTCTTTTGCTGTTATTGTCAACTCATATTGTGACTGTTTTTCCCTGTCCAGAGGGGATTTGGTCACTAATGAAAACATCTTATCCTGTAAAGATGGTGATAAAGCAAACGGAACATCCTCACCTACGAAACAAATGACTTTTCCATTAAGACCAGAATCCAAGTCGTTTACACTAATAAGAGCTACTGTAGTTCCAGGTCTGGAATCTTCTGGGATTGAGCTTGAAAATGATGTTACCTCAATCTCAGGTGCGTTATCATTCAAGTCAACAATCTTTATTTTTACGCTCTTTTCTGTAGTTAGAGGAGCCATACCTTTATCTGACGCCTGGATTTCTATTTCGTATTTTTCCCTCTCCTCATAGTTTATCAATCCTTTGACGCTTAACTCTCCTGTTAATGGACTGATAGCAAAGAGATTTAAATCTTTTTGATTTATACTCTTACCAAATGAATAAACTACATCGCCGTTAGGTCCATCATCTAAGTCTATTGCATTTACTTGTACGACTATTGTACCAAGTGGTGTATTTTCATTGAGCGTAACAGAATAATCATCTTTAGAGAAAGCAGGAACGTTGTCATTAACATCAAGAACATTTACCAGAATATTCATTTCGCTTGATTTCGGAGGTTTACCCCCATCCAGCGCCGTCAGTGATAATACATGGCTCCCTGCAGTTTCCCTGTCTAAGGATTTTTGAACAACTAAAATAGGTATTTTTCCATCATCTCCTTTATCCTTAATTTCCAATCGGAAGTGATCGTTGTTGCTAAGTTTATACTGCTGCACGGAAAACTGTCCACTGTCTTGGTCACGTGCTGCTTTCAGCTGAAATCGTGTCCCGGGTAATACTGACTCTGAAATCTCAAGGGTTGTCTGGTTGTCTTGGAAGCTGGGTGAATGATCATTTATATCCAGCACTTCTACTCTAGCATAATGGACCTCCAGTGGGTTTTCTAGCACAGTTTTAACATTTATTACACACGCACTGCTCTGCGCACACACTTCCTCTCTGTCAATCTTTCTGCTCACATACAGAACACCATCGTTTGGATTCACATAGAACAGGGGATCCGCATTACTTGAAACAATCCGATACTTCCGGTCTTTCAACGTGTTTTTATCTAATCCCAGATCTCTTGCTATGTTTCCAATCACAGTTCCTTCGTTAACCTCCTCGGAGATCGAGTATCGCAACTGCGCTGATGCTACAGTCCACAAAAGCACAGCAAATACGCATCCGACCAGATATTCTCTCCTCATTTCCGACTGGCGTTTTCTTTGTTCCATGATGAAAACGAAATTTTTCAATAATCCATCACAATGACTATAAATCTGTTGGAAATGCAAAAAAAAGAAAAACCTCGTTCTTGCAAACACTCCTGTGATATTTGTACATGCAAAACCTGGTGTAAACCCAGAGAACAATCCGCAAAACGATGCTCCCCTTGTCGATGTGAAATAGCTAAGGGGTGGAACCAAAAAGCAATAAGGACAAGCTTGTGGGTGGGAGGTTTTCTATATCGCACTGACACCATGCGAGTTTTATTCTCATTACAGAAAATTGGCTTCATATTGGATTATTAGAGCAGTATGATCGGTTTATGAAAAGCGAAGAAGAGATTTAGTGTCCATCAGAAGATTACAAATCCAACACAAATTAAAAAATATATAATCTCTTTATTTCACGCAGAACCAGCGAGTATTTTAAATTTGTATTGTTGTTATCTCACGAGTTAAGCAAATCGTGTCACTGCAGAATTACCTTGAAACGAAGCAAGGCACTTTTCAGCACCAAGGATAGTTATTTAGTTTGCAAATTGCTTTCACTGAGTGAGTCCCGCACATTTTTGTATCTCATTAATTGACTGGTAGCTAAAAACACTCACTTGTCTGAAATAAATCAACCTTGATTTGTTGCTCAATAATTTCAGAATAACAAGGTATTATAATAATGTCCAATGAGACACTTTAAAATATCACAGCTGCTCTGATCGAGGTGAGGGAGATGAAAAGGATGCATTTTTGTATGACTAGTGATTAAAATGAAAAGTACAACTTAGGGGAAGAACGTTATATTTTAAGGTATGCCTTACCTCAGATGTTCTCCTCCTGTCAGGAAGCACGAGTGTATTCGCATGACTCCCAGGTACTATAGTAGATCCTATACTCATTCTGGGTCCAACTAGCATGTACCGCTTCTCTCCTGATCTGTA